CATTGCAAGCCCTCATCTCCTCCATGCGAAAGCGCAGGTCATCACATGGGACATTGCCATGGAATGTTGTGATGGTTCTCTTCAGCTTGCTTCTTTCCCTCCACAATTCCTCCATCTGTTTTTTGACTTGTAGGTATTTCTTCTCTATGTGAGCATAAGCAGTCTGAAGAGCATACATTGAAGCTGCTGACTGAGCACTTGCTCCCCGAGTGTCTGTCAGTTTCATCTGGAGGATCTCTTTCTCTACCTTTAGTGATTTGACTTCATCATCAAGAGCAGTCAGCTGGGCCACAGATATCTGCAGCTTTTCTTCAGCAGATTGCAGTTGTTTCTTGCAGTTGTCCCGCTCACCACAGAGGTTGCTTAATTCAGCATTTTTTCTCTCCAGCTGCTGACTCAGTTTCATGTTTGCCTCCACCTGCTTTTGCACTTGAACCTGAAGACTGGCTATGTCATGCTCAGCCTGAGAGCACAGCGACTGGTTTAGAGCTTTCTCTTCTTCCAGTTGGTCATGTAGACCTCTAATCACTGATTCATAATCTTCTTCCAGGGCAGTAATCTTTCCCTTCTCCTCCCCCAGTTGGGTATTAGCATCTTCCAGGTCTTGCTCAAGTTGGTGAATAAGCTCTTGCTTTTTACTTGAACCTCTTTGGAGTTTCTTGATTGTCTGGCCAAGCAGCTCTGCTTCATGAGATGCATCCCTTAGGATTTTCTCCTTTGAACTTTCCACTTCCTCAATCTTGTGTCTGTAGCTGGCAATTTCTTCTTTGACTTTATCAATTTCTTGATCTTTGTTCTTCAGCTCAATGTACATGGCTCGGACTTTCTTGGTAAGGCGTTCTGACTCTTCTTCCAAATCTCTTTTGAGTATGTTATTTTCTTTTGTGATCTCCACAAGCTGCTCCTGTAATCTCCTAATTTCACTATTTGCTGTCTCTATTTCCTCAGCACATTTTGTGGATTCTGACCTGGCTCTTGCCTTCAATTCCACCAACTGGGTTTTCAGAGTGTTGCTTTCATCTTCTTTGGCTTTAAGGTCGTTTTGCAGCTTTTCAATCATTTGCCGATCAGCAGCCATGTTCAGCAGCTTCTTTTCCATGGTCTTCTCGTGTTGTTGTGACTGCGCACGTTCTTGCTCAAGCATCTTCATCAATTCATCAACTCTTCTTCTCAAATTCTCGTGCATGGTTTTCAAATCGCTGTTGGCACTCTCGAGGTCTCTTCTTTTGCTCTGCTCCTCTTCTAAGGCCACGTTTTTCTTAGCCAATGCTTGTTCCTGATTAGACGCTTTCTTCACGCTTTCAATCAAAGCGGCCATTAAATCAGCTTTACGCGACTCCGACTCCAATACTTTATCGTTTGCATTAGCCAGATCAGCTAGTGCCGTCTCATTCGATGCTTTCAAGCAGGCATTCTCTTCCAACGCCCCGGCAAGTGACTCTTCCAACACCTCTGTTTTGTTTTTAACGATCATAAATGAGGTTCCTAGTTCATCATCTTCAATTTCGTGGCACTCTAACTCCTCTTGTTCAATCGGCTTGATTTTCATCTGGAAAGGTGCGCTAGCCCCTCTTACATCGCCTGCGTAGGTGACATAACAAAACTGATAAAACTCCTCATCAGCCTTCGGTAAATACCTCAGACGAAACACAACTCTATTTGCAATCGGTCTTCCTTGTTCGCCATCTTGAATACTTGGCACAGGCGACCATTCGTACGTGTAATGTTCACGCCACGACTGCCACCCCACTGGAAACAATCCGATCCAATCCCTGGAGTTTGGTTTGACCGAATGGTATAACGACATTCTATATCTCTGTCGGGAGGATAACAATCGGAAACGTTGTTGAAAATGACGGCGGAAAATTCAGAATCTGATGGTAGCGACGTGTATTCTGTTGACATGACGCTTGTGTTGCCTTCCTTGCTTTCACTTTCACGAGCACTCTCTGCCATGTTTCTCCAGTGCTTTGGTTGTCTGAACGCACAAGATTTTACTGCGGATTCCCGGAAGGTAGTAAGGAAGTTAGTGCTATGTCTTAATGATTTACCAACTTAATAACTGTAGATGTAGATGTAGCAAATTGTTTGCCTAGCAATAGGTATTACATTTAAGTAAAAGTGCAGGTAAGAGTGCCTTTTGCTCATGCATAGCACATGCGTGGTTGTGTACGTTTTTTCTGAGAAATGGAAGCCTTCAGTTCCGGGTGTCGCGTCCGGATTTCCGCCAGGTTTCCGGGTGACCGGGTTTCCAGGTCTTCCTGCTTTTGGGACAACCCTTCGAAAGTTCTGTAGGATTTCAAGCACACACTCTACTGCTCACATTCCTTAGAGTGTAACTTTGAAGAATAAAAAACATCGACTTCTAGCTCTTCTAGCGAAGTATACAACTTCCAGCGAATTTGGCGCGATTTGGCGCCAAAACATTTCCGCCTTGGCAAATTGCGTGAACAGCGGTATTGTATCATCTGCGCACGCGCAGTCGGGGAACGTCCTTTACACATGTACCCTTCGATGCAGAATGTCTCTGGTGACTTGTACTAGATTTTTTCGTCCTTGCTTGAGCCGGATTAGACCAGTACTAAGTCCGCCAAGGTTAAACGGATGCAGACTATTCAGTTCTCTCCAGAAACGGCCAAATTTTGTCTTCAGTCGGTTGCTTGCCAGACATGCATCGGGTGGTAATGAGGGATTTGGTGCACTCTTGAGCGAAAACGGGTTACTTGTGCTCGGCTTTGGACTACTTGGGGGTTCACTAGCGTATGTGAGTATCAGTTTGAAACGTTGTTGCTACTGTTCTATACTTCAAACTGTGTATAGTGTTTTTGAGTTCCCAACTGTCTTCCATTTCAGATTTTGTTCTCAGTTTACCAAATCAGCCAGTATATACTAAAGTACTAATGTACCTTCTGAAAAAATTTCCAAGATACCGAACCTGAGGAAGAGACTAGAATCTCTACATCAGGGATAGTTGTGTGAATTTTAAACATTCAACGTGAAAGCTATTTAGTAATCTGCCAAAATATGTCACCAAGTGCCCATATTTCAGTATAAAAAAATATGATGTACTCAATAATTTTGAATTGTACAAGTATGAACTGAAAATTATTGTCTATCATTTATATAAAACGTCTGGGTAACAACAGGTACTCCTGTTCAATTATGGGCGATGACTGCAAATGACAGTTTGCATCAAACCAAGATTTTGATTCTCGTTTGACAGATAGTTAATAATATTTACTTATTTGTTGATTGTAAATTGTTACAGCTCATAGCTATTTCACAGTTAGTTTCCAGGGATGAAAAAGTCAGTCATTCCACTTACATTTCATGCTCCAAAGTAGATCAATTTTTGGCCCATAAAAACACTCTTCACAATCCTCTGTTTCTGGATCCTGATTACTTCACACCTACAATATTGTGACTGCAGCTGTGAAATCTTCTATATTACATTTTATTTAGATTAGATTGCTTATAAACTAGAGCCATAGAGAGTAATATTGGCTAAACATTTTCAATATGGTAATTTCAATTTTGATGGTGCTTTATATCTGTCAGTACAGTTAATGTTTTCAACATTACAAGTCTAGTTGTGATAAAAGGGTGATTTCACCTAGTTTTAAAGTAGTTAATTAGTTGATTAATCATTTAATCAGTCAATTGATGTAATGCAGGGTTCGATATTTTAGCATGCAGGTTTGGTACATGTGTAATTAACAGTTATGTTAATCTGCTCAGTGTGCTAAAGAAATATATTTAATTAACAGCATGAATATGTATTATAAACTATGAATGAAATATTTGCCAATTTTCCAATTGTAAGGGTTTACTCAGTGGAAGTTTGAGTCCCAATGGAGTTCCATCCTCAAAGGAGGCAGTTTCCAAGGAAGACGCTAAGGTGATTATTCTTTAAATGAGCGTAAATAAGTGTGCAAGACCTAACTTAAAGGTTTGGTTCATAATATTAACTAATAGTAACATTACATTATTATCATATGATTTATGAACAATTTAGTGGACAAGTGTAACTCAGGGGCAGATCCAGGATTTCAAGGGGGATGGGTGGTATCTTGGGGTTGCAGAATCAATGGGGCATACCCCCAAAATGTTGCAATTTGAGAATTTTAATATGGAAAACTGTTACACTGGAAATACTAGCAATATCACAAAGTAGAAATTATCATGATGTACTTGTCCAGTGTGTATTCTGCCATAAAATTCACAATCTTTTTCACTTTTTTATGTTTTGCTTCTCCAAAAGGGGGGTGGCTATCCATCCAATCCACCTCCCCCCTCCTAAATCCACCCCTGTAACTGATGATATAACCTGCAGCCTGTATAAATATCACAAATTATGATTGCTATTGTGAAATTGCCATCAAATGGAAGTAAACACCAGTGTTTCCGCCAGAGCGCGCAATTGCGAGAATCCAGCGCTGCAATCAGAGNCATTATGTACTAGATTTATCATGCAGAGTTTGGTCAAAGTAAAGTGTTTTACGAGAATCCATATTGGAAACTCATGGAACATATGCTATTTTAGAATGTTTGCCAGGGGGCATAATGTTTGCCTTGAGTTTGCAACTGATTCTTATGAAACTTCATGTATTTGCTAAAGTCAGTATGATAAATTGAACTCATGTCTGGTGGCGTTTTATTTATATAAAAAATATGAACAGTATTATTATATTGTTGTTGATATTACATGACGGTGTCAAAGTGATCCATTTCACTATAGAAATAAAATAACATGTTAACCTCTCTGTTCGTTTGTCTTGTAAGTTACAGTGTATATTTTAGTACTTTTAGATTGTGTTTACAAGATTGTCAATTTGACCAGTATTTAATAAAATGCAACTAGCTCTCCGGTAGCCCAAGGCAAGAAAATAACAAACGTGCCTAATCATTGAATATTAATAATATTCGGGGCTTTAGCAGACTGGTTTAAGGCTAAGCGATAGATACACTTGTGCACATGTCTTGACAATGTTTAACTCTTTTTATCCTCCATTTTGATAGGTGCACCTCCCCCTTTACCAGAACTTCCAGAGCATGTGACATACATCCTTGTGGGAGCTGGGACTGCATCATTTGCAGCTTACAGAGCCATTAGAAAAGCTGATAAAAGTGCAAAGGTACAGTATTTAATAAACTTCACACAATATTATGTATGGTCATGCTACTAAATTACTTGCGAGGAAGAGTGATCCTCTCTAAGCACTCTTGAAAGATAGTCAGGATTCTCTTGAATGGCCAGTAGAAACATTTTTTCATTACATCTTAGATCTATGTGATAACATGCAAGTGTACATCAATGTTTCACTCTTGTTGTTAAATATGGCTGGTGTAAAACATTGCAATTGACTGATGAAAGGGTTATTCCCAAAACATCTTGGCAAAAGTGATGTTATTAGTTGAACCACTCAATTTTCTACTGAAAACTTGTTTAGTTGACTATATACTTGTGAGTGAATACTGTACGTAGTGCATATCATTTAGATGGCAAGACACCCTCAACATATCTATTCTGTCTTGTGTTTATTGTAACAGGTGTTAATCATAGGAGATGAAGACTATCCACCTTATATGCGTCCTCCTCTTTCTAAAGAACTGTGGTATTGTGATGATGAAGAACTAGTCTCTGATCTCAAGTTTAAGCAGTGGAATGGAAAAGAAAGAGGGTTAGACTATCTTGTGACAATGACATTACTTGTGAAATGTCTGTGGTTCTCTTGAATGGTGTTAGAAATTATTTCCTAATGGAACCTGTTTTTACCTTTTCTCTNGGGGGGGGGGGGGGGGGGGGGGGGAATTTCCAAAGGAAAAGGTCGGGTATGCTTGTCTTGGTTGGGGGCCTAAAACACGAATTTTGGTCTCAATTAGCTCATGACGAACACCACTGTTTTTATCCGTTGACCAACGTATCTTTTAGGGTTGCACTCATAGTCAAAACAAAAATACTGTCATATCCGTTTTAAACTGGTATCTTTTAGCGCCCTCTGCGAAAGAAAAAATCGGAGAGGGTGGCTGTGACATAAGCTGTGTGTGAGCTCATTAGCACTTGTGCCACCCAGAAATTTAATATGCATTTTTCAAAAGCCGGTTTCTCTTCAAATATTAAACCCAAAGAGCTAAAAATTTCAGTTTCACAAGCTCTTTAAATGTTTGTAGTCAATGTCATGTCTAGCGTGATGCATTCTCTGCACAAAGCCGTTACTCATGTGTTAATGAAGAAAACTGTAAACAATGACGTCAGCAGAGATTCTCCTAGTGAGCATTGTTTTCTTGTGGTAGTGTTCATGATGCTGTACAAGGTGATTTGAACTTTTAGTTTGTTTTTCGTTAATATCGTTTACAGATCAAAGCGGATCATGTGATTGTAGCAGTAGGCCTGGATCCTAATGTTGAACTTGCTAGTGCTGCTGGTCTTGAGGTGGACCCAGTCCTCGGTGGTTACCATGTCAACTCAGAACTAGAAGCCAAGTCTAATATTTGGGTGGTGAGAAAAACTGAAATATTGGGTTACACGTTTTTTATGACCGCAATCTACTTCCATCCTCACCATCGCTAGTCATTCTCACTTCTTAATTAATTCCTGTCTTTTGCCAAATACTTTAATTACTATAAAGTCGAAGTGTTAGTATTGTTGAATTTCCTAAGATCTGTCCATGTTTAATCTTGTGAACACGTTGTGTGTTGTCAGGCCGGTGATGCTGCCTGCTTTTACGATCCAAACCTCGGCAGACGGCGTGTTGAACACCACGATCATGCTGTGGTCAGCGGCAGATTGGCGGGAGAAAACATGACAGGCGCAAGAAATCCTTATTTTCACCAGTCCATGTTTTGGTTAGTAGCGGTCAGTCTTGTTCGACAGACATGCAAAACGATTAGTTAGTTACTTGACACCAGCTAAAGCTTCAAAACAAGCAAACAAGACACCAAGACAATGCTTGTAACTGTTTGCTGATTGTTCTGGCAGTGCTCGGAATTTTGTGCAATTAACATAAGTTTCACTTTCTCCGTTCACAGAAGTGAACTCCCTTAGCTTGCGTATAATTTTCGTGTTGTTTTCAGTCTTATAATCCTCTTAGAAAGGGTAAAGAAGGTTAGTCTGCGATCAGCAGGTTTCTTCTCCGCCGAATGTTCGCCATAGTAGAAACCAACTGCTGGCAAGGTAACAGAAGGTTAAACTCGAGCCTGAAAAAAAAGATTCGTTTTTAAGTAATCAGCAAAGCTGAAGTATCTTAGACTTGAGAAAAGAAGTTGATTTCAAGCCTGG